AAAGAGCAATCACCTTTCATCAAACACGTTCAGGGTCATGTCCTTCAGTGATGTAGCTTCTTTCCCCCGAGTCGTCTCTCCATATTTGGCTTCCAGCGCATTCATCCGGACAACTGCAGAAAGACAACCCTTAATACTCGACAAGGTCCCCCAATATTTCGTGGTTTTCGCGAAACACGTGAAAACACAGGGTATATGCCTGTGCATATGGGAAAAAGCTCCTGTGAAAAAACATGTTAGTCTAGATTCAGCCCACCTAGCGCCAGCGAGAACCATTTTACCATTGCACTTGTGACGTCCTTTGCCGTATTGAGTGGAGCTATCGTCTGCTACCAAACCAGCCACCTTACCACACGCACTCAGTATGGGGCTGCGGTGCCTCAATGGCATTAGTTTAGCCACTGCATATCGTTTAATGGCGAGATGAAGAAAGCTTAAATACTTCGAATTCACGCATAACTGAGCACACAAAACAAAACTGGTCGCCAGAGTGTTCTTTCTCTCTAGCTTGTTTGACAACGCAAGAATTAACCCTTGCAATGGAGAGAGAGTAAGAATAAAATGAAGGAAAGGCAAGGAGTTTAACCAAAAACTGGAATTTCGGTTCGCTACCCTGCACTAAGAAAAATGGGAATTGGAAAGAAAGGGAAGAAAGAAGGCGAAGAGCAAAATAGACGGGCAAAAAATAAAAAAAGAGCGTGGTTGATATATCCTATTCAATAGAACACTACCACGCAAAAAGTTCCATGAGGCCTTCACTGATTATCTGTGAGAAGACAGATCATGTCGGCTTTCAGTGCACTGACTGTTCTGACAACGGTCTGTCGTCAAGGCGGGCTAACGCAGCAGCTAGCGTCTGTTTTTGTATGATGTAGCGTGGGCAGTGACAGAGAACACGGAAGACTGTGCTTCTTGCGATCATTGCGGCAGTAATGAAACGATAGAGCACGTTCCCCTTAGAATGGAGATTATTTATTTATGTATTTATTTTCAAATACTGCAGCCCCGTTATGGGGCTATCGCAGGAGTGGGTACACAGCAAGAAATAACAAAAAGGTACAAAACAAAACAGCTGAATACACAAGTACATTGGCAGATCATAGAAATACAAAAATTTTACAAACAGAGTTATACAAACAATGAAAGGTTTACAGCACACCGTCTTTTAATGCCTTCAAAAATTCATCTTTCTGCAAAGACCGAATGTGACCTGGTATGAGGTTCCACATTTCAATACATCGAGGAAAAAAGGTGTATTTGAAGAAATCAGTACGAGGATGAAACACAGATACATTAAGTGCGTGGCTGTTTCTGGTGGATGATGGTTTGGCAGGTGTTATGCAGTTGTTGTGTGGTGAATAATGCGGTGAATTAAGTAAAGAGTGAAAAAATTTCCGAGACTCGATGTCTCGTCTTTTAGAAAGTGATGATAGACCAAGCTGCGCTAGATGGCATGATGGTGAAAATTTACGATCATAGCGTCTGTAAATGAATCGAATAGCTTTTTTCTGGATGGATTCAACGCGTTTTATGTCACTGATTTTATAACGGTACCATACAGTGGCTCCATACTCAAGGATCGGTCGTACGAGGGTTTTGTATGTAAGCAGTTTTGTTTCCCTTGGGGCTAAACGTAGTGAGCGGTTAAGGTATCCAAGTTTCTTCAGAGTCTTGTTGCATGTTGTATTGATGTGACTAGACCAAGATAAGTTAGTTGTGAAAAAGAGACCAAGGTACTTATACTGTGAGACCCGCTGCACTACATAGTTATTAAAAGAATAATCAAACACAGATGGGGTTTTCTGTCTACTGAAACACATAACAGCTGTCTTTTGACAGTTAATGCTCATCTGCCAATTTTGGCACCACCTGCAAAAGTTTAAGAACGATGTATGGTGTGTATGATGATCATCAGGTGAATTTATTACGTGATATAAAACGCAGTCGTCAGCGTAAAGACGACTTTTAGTGGAAACTGTGTCGGGTAAGTCACTTATATATAACAGAAAAAAGTAATGGCCCTAGCACGGATCCCTGGGGCACTCCGGAAGATACGCGTGCTTTAGATGAATGCAAGGTGTTAAATGATACGTATTGGCTACGGCTTGAAAGGAAACTTCTAATCCACTGAACAAGCGGTTGGTTTTTTAGTAAGAGATTGAGTTTATATAGAAGTTTTGAATGGAGGACAGTATGGCTTTAGAAAAGTCTATGAATAATGCGTCCACCTGAAGACCTAAGTCAAGAGCTATAGATATGTCATGAGTGAATTCTGTCAGCTGAGTTATGGTACTAAATCCACGCCGGAAACCATGTTGTGCATTGGACAGAATATTGTTAGTTTCGAGAAAATTGATGATGTGTTTGAAGACAATATGTTCCAGTAATTTGCATGAGTGAGAGGTTAATGATATAGGCCTGTGATTTAATACAGATTGCCCACTACCTGATTTGTGGAGTGGAAGGACTTGTGCAATTTTCCACGATGGTGGAACAGTTGATGTTGATAATGATTTGTTGAAAAATACTGACAGGTATTGGCTTGTCCATGGAGAATAGCGACGAAGAAAAATATTATTAACATTGTCTGGGCTAGACGACTTTTTTGAATCAACATTTAAAATCAAATTTAAAACACATTCTGTAGACACAGAGACATCAATAGAAACAAGCGAGGCATGAAGTGGAGTGCAAGAAGAAATTTCGTGATTATCCTGAGCAAAGACAGACGTAAAGTATTCGTTAAATGCATTGGCAATGACCTGCAGCTGGCTAGTAGGAGTTTCATTAAGGACGAATGTACTAATAGAGCATTTATTTGGCGAGATTGAGCTCCAAAATTTTCGGGGATTATTCATAACCATGTTTGGCAAGGTAAACGAGAAAAAGAAGTCTTTAGCAGCATTTATTTTTCTAGGAAGTTCCTCCTTCGCTGTATTGAATTCAGCTCTACGCAGGGCATTGCCATTACGACTTGCATGCCTTAGTCTTGATAGTGGACGCTTTAAATGCAGTATTTCTCTCGTTATCCATGGAAGTTCAGTATTTTTCTTTTTAGTGTTTAGTGGTACATGTGTTTCAATACATTCTATAACAAGGTTTTCAAAATAAGACACCAAACTGTTGACATCACCAGTATAGCTAAGTTCTTTAAAAATGTCAAACTTACTGCTTGAGGTGTCAATTATAGACACATCGTCAGCCAGGCTATAATCGCGAAAAGTTGTATATTCATAGCGGCGTTTCGGAACTGTGCAATTAAGAGAGATTAGTACACCTCTATGATCAGAAATACCATTAATGACCTGAGCTGTAAACCCCCTTGTATACAGTAAAGCACTGAGAAAAACGCAGTCCAGTATAACATTGTCACTTGCGGCATCAGTGACAACTTGTTTAAGACCTAAGTTTAGTGAAAAATTATTCACCTTTCTACAAATTGATGAATCGGTGCCCAAAGTGGAGAGCGATGGCCATGAAATGCCAGGCACAATAAAGTCTCCCATGCAAATTAGGTTACCTGAAGAAAAGCATTTTTGTTGTATAAAACTACTGAGTACTGCGAACTGATCTAGTGATGAACCTGGGGGACGATAAAATACACCGACAATTATAGGAGAGTTCGCGATATGAACCTTGCACCAGACGGTTTCAATATCTGCAGGTGACTTTAATACAGAAAAACTTAAATCAGACCTCAAGAAGATGGCAACGCCGCCACCTCGGCCATGCAATCGATCAGTACGAACAACATTGAACCATGGTGGAGTAATTTCAGAATCATATATGTCGCCATAAAGCCATTATGATCGATTCTAATTGGTTGTCGAGGCCCCCCTCTAAACATGCGACAAAGCCCTGTAACTGCGTTCTTACTTGAAATATTCGAGAAAGTTTTGGGATAATAGACTCGTGATGCAATAAACTTCAATTACAGATGTCATTCGATAATTAAATTAAAAAAAAGAGTCAGGGCCTCTCTAAGTTTTACCCTGTTTAGACTATGTAACAGAAAATAAAACATGGTATTTCACATGGAGCCACCTAACAACTAACCAGTGGCGTCTGTGTCATATTACGCGAGTCATATTACTTCGAATATTCGAATAGGGGTGAATTTGTATTTCATGCACATGGTTACAATACATCTTGAATGTATAAAGTGTATTCTTCTTTTATTTTTATTTGTAAGAATCCTACGGCTAGTAATTATGTTGTTACGCGTGTCTAGCATGCAACAGGCTATGAAACGCTGCACCATGTATTTTTGCTGTACTACTAAATATTTAAAATATTTCAGTAGTATCTCGAACAAAGTTATACGCATATATTATGCAAGGGACAGAAGAAAAACCACGTTGTGTTCTAAGACTGTGCATTACAAAGGAAGTGTTTCATTGTAATCATTTGCACGCGTCTCAGCTGTAGTGCCGCACAAAACCAATAAACGACACATGACATTTTTTCAGCGAAAACCAGTATGAAGCACCCTAATATAACTGTCCAACAACCTACGTCTTCTTTGGCCCTTCGTAAGACGTGTCAAGTGAACAGCCTCTGTGACAACCGTGCTTTGTTGATGATTCTCGGTTTAGTAGTTTTTTATTGTTGACTGTCCGTTCGAGGTGCTTGTTACTTCCCAATGGCAGCGGTGTGCTTTGCATACTTGAGTACAAGACTTCGCACTGAAAATAAGCTCATTCTATTACGGTGCCTTCTTCAGAGGACACGGAACGGCGCAATGTGAACGAAGGTGGCAGTATACAGCGACAAATATTAGGCATAGTAACGCACCGACGGGAAATCCTGTGGTGACAAACGATAAAATATGATAGAACTTTTATGACCCAGCAGGTCAAAGATATCAATTTTCAAAACTGTTTCACATCGTCCAATCTATGCGTGCTGCCAATATCACCAATAGAAAGTACGTGTAGCACAATGTTTAGTACATAGAGAATATATTTGCACTACAGATTGCGTTTTGTTTCTTTTTTCAGAACTACGTTTACTCGGCCTGTACATTTATCTGTGAAGGTGACGAAATAATAGTATTACAAAAGGGCGAGAAATGTTATGTAAGCACATTCACATATTACTGTTGAATGCATGGTTGTATCATACGCATCTCCTGCAGCTTTTTAAAGTTCGCCTGCCGTTGCCCGAAGTGGTAGAACTAACATCGCAACCCAATTTTAGGCGTAATTGTTAACCGTTATTAACATATCAATCCTGGCAAGCTGTGACGCACAACGCGCAATCGATCTTGGACCACCGATATCGTCCATCTCAGGCACATTTTGAGAGCAATGTAACTGTGTGGGCTGATACTTGTTTTTGTTGTAACTGCATTTCCTTTAGCTATATGCACAGCATAGAGCGCATTGACCTTATCCATGATTTTTTAGGACACCTCTTACGCCGAGGAGATGATGGCTTAACTTTTGTAGCACTAAATGGTTCTTGGCCTTCCACGAGTTCTAGCTTTCAGTGCGAGTGGTGGCTTTTGCCGATTTGTAAAGGAATAAAATAGATCAACTGACTTTTCATTGTTGCCAAAAATAAGCGTATATATCCTTGGACGAACGTTTTCTCTACCTTTATGTCTGTTATCCATGCATAGAAGAAGGACTACAATCTGCATATTGGCGATCACCATGAGCGTTACAGTGCGCTAAGGTATGGAAGGCAGGTGGAGCAAGCCCCCCCCCCCCCTCTTTTACCTAATAGGGTTAGGGTGGCACAAACTGTGCTCCATATATTACCCTAATAGAGAGGGGAACCCTGCGCACGCTTACAATTATAAGTAGGAAATAATGAAGAGTTTGTAGCTAATTTCTGCTGTAGCTTTGTAATTAACGTAGTTTTAGGTGTAATAGCCTGCTTCAGCATTATATAGGAGCTCAGTAAGTTAGAATATGTAGCGAAACAAAAATATCATATTTAATAGCCACAGACGTACAATAACGCGCACAATTTAAACCGCCGATCTCATTAATTTTGAGGTTAATTCATGCGAAGCGCAACGTATAGCTCCTTACGAGCGTTAGCCATGCGTATTAGGCGAACGCTACGGATTATCTCCAGTCTACCCTCTTGATACCCTCTTGAAACGTTTCGTATGCTGCTCTGTTGATTCCGTATGTTTCCATTGATTGATTGATTGATTGATTTATATGTGAGGCTTAACTTCCCAAAACCACCGCTATGATTATGAGAGACGCCGTAGTGGAGGGCTCCGGAAATTTCGACCACCTGGGTTTCTTTACCGTGCACTCAAATCTGAGCACACGGGCCTACAACATTTCGGCCTTCATCGCCGTATGTTTCCGTAAGATAAAATATGGCTTCTGTAAGGTAACATGTGCAATTATCGGAATGGCATACGGAACGTTTCAATGGGATACTAGAAATAAAATAACCTGTCTATAATAGGCCTAGCGTGTATGTATTAAACAGCTTCTGTGGTAACGTGCCTCTAATATAGGGAAAACCCCACTACTCTCCTCTGGCACACCGAACGGTATGAGCAAAGACTAGCAACGAATGAGCACTTTCATACCATCAGCTCAGCAGTTAAACCAGCTTTCGTGATATTGAGTGAAGCTGCCTAATTATATTACCTTATTGCTTTGGCATTAATGTCAGACAAGTTCTAAGCTAAGTGCGCCTGCATATAGGTAATCCGGAATACAGAAAGCTGTTGCTTGAGTAACAGTGGAATATTTTCCTGGGCAACAAGTAGGCCCCCAACACGGAAACAGCCCGCTTTTCTTTTTCCCTTAAATAAAGTTTCGCACACACACTCTCTATTTCTAGCCAGCGGTTAAGTGAGAACTTCAAAGCGTTGAAGCGTATTTTCGTTTGAGACTACTGAGTTTCACCGTTAAAATAGCCGCAAGACCAATACAATTTCAAGTGGAAAATATGATTGAAAACGAAGAGTATAATTTCATTTCGCGGTGCATCTTTATTTTTGTAACGTTAATACAAGACACCACACACTGAGAGCTAGCAAACATAGCGAACAGCATCTGAAACACGTACTACAAGGATTAGCCTACATACAGCTGCATTGAACTACCACGCGCACCACCCCGCTTTGGGTGGTGCGCGTTGCTACACGACAGTTAAGGTTATTTTGAATGAACCCAAGTTACGCTTAATTTCTAGTGGTTGCTGCCAAAAGCAGTCAAAACTACCTAATAAGTTTGTGTGAGAAAAGAAGTTCAACATACTGTCTTAAACCATCAAGCCAATCTCATATGTTCGTCGTGATGGTATTCTAAAAAAGTCAATTTGGTGCGAAGTAGACACCGACGGCATTCACTCGCAAATCTTTGATGTGACGCTTTATAACACAACGCTTTGCTATCCGAATTACCCCGTGCATTCTGAACAATATTGGCTGTCATAATGTCGGAGCAATTACAGCTCGTTTACTTATTGATTATTTATTCGACATTTCGAATCCATCTTCCTGGAGCAGCAACACATTGAATTTCCCTATCGTGATTTCTTTCACATATTCAACAACAAAAAATATCGCGACTTTGTATGTGAGCTAAGCTGAGGTATCATCCGCTGCTCTGCAATCAGCCCAAATTCCTTTGTTAGACTTTTGAGAAACCATCGCAAATGTCAAAACTAATGTCAAGGCATCGAAACTGACAAAACCCAGCGAAAAATAGGCGAAACAAAGCATAGGAGAGGTTATTTGTGGTCTTTTGACTGTGTTGCAATCGTTATCACTTAAACTGAAGGAAAATAATGTTTACGAAAATCATTCTTTCCATCGGTGGGATTCCAACCCACAGTTTCGGAATTGGAAGGTTGTTGGTCCCACCGGCACAAAATGGAATTTTTGTACACTACGATTTCTTTCAAATTAGGCAATATTGATAACAATACAGTAAAAAACCACATATATTGTTACTTATGATACTATCCTCTGAATTGTTGTTCGGTTTTATTGTGTTTGATACAGAGAAACGAATCCATCTAACAATTTCCTAACTTTTGTACTGTAAATGTCTGGTTTGTTGCAAATTTATATATTAAAATTGCTTAATCTAGATGCTCTACTATAAGAAGTTTCCCGAACGAAAGCATATGTTTTTGGTGCGGCGACGAACGTCTAAGCTTGGTGCTCCTACTTTTGCATAACTTCGTCATTTTCGGCAATATTTCAAATGGAACCTCCTGGCCTAAATTAAAATTTTGCTTCCTAGAATTTTTCATCTCATTGTAACAAACTTTTCTTTTTTCTGTTTAAACAGCTGCAGAAAGGAAAAGGCATGCAACCGAATAAAAACAGCAATGGAGCCACAGGAAAGTGTGTGGATGGAAAATGCATTACAACATAACTTTGAAAGTGTAATGCTTCATAAAGGCATTTGTAGCCTAATCTATTACTACGAATGCCAAATTTCATGTGCGACTATTTTTCTGAAAACGAGATGCTAGAAATATAGAATGAATGATTACTCCTGATTATGAAATAAATTAAAATAAATGAGGGTGGCTCCTACAACAAAAAGGCCATAAATTGTTTGTCGCTATTTATGAAACTTGGCATGTGCTGCAACTCACATCAGCAGTAGGTATTTTTGGGAGCTCTTGAAACTGTACTTTAGATAATGATATAGTGTAATGGGCATCGCACAGAACACAACCTATCAATACAAATACAAGCGCCGATTGTCCTGAAAATACTACGTCGACTTGTTTAAGCTATATTACCTAGGCGACAGCATGTTACACGAAAGCTTGCGCAGACTTGAAGTGTCATCTTCGCTGAAGTAAGTATGGCAAAGCAGAGGTTGCTTCGTGAAAAAGAGTGAAAGGCCATCTGAAATCGTAGAAATGGACGTGTTCTTAGAAACTGACTGCATATGAGTTTATTTGCTAAATATCTGCTCTGTGAAATTGAAATTACGGTGAATGAGAATCGAAGGACGATGGCTATTGTATCTTGTCAACGTTTATGAGTGAAATGTGCTTCTGGGGTTGTGAGTGCACGCCTAGGAAAATCGTAGTAGCAGGAGCAGAAAAACGAAGATTCACGAAACAAGTGCCAGTTCAAACATTCGGCACCATTTTGATGGATGATATGTCACGAGCTAATGGAAGCTTATGCCCATAGGCTATTCGAATAAAACGCATCAATGACAGGATTTTATGGTTGTCACATCAGCCGCTGCAATAAAGCGCGTTGCAACTGCCCGGGAACATGTTAGCGATGGCGATGCAGTTGCTATATTTGCTTAAATCACCAAAGAATGATCGTAAGTGGATTCACGAAGCAAATGTTTGCGTTAGAACAGCGTGGCTAGGAAAATATCCTAAGAGTGGTCCGGACCACTCTTAGGCCTAGTTCACACTGAAACATCTGCTTTCTACAGCGACCGAAATTCCCCTGCCGCCGAAACGCAGCGTCGTTCACACTGGACGCGCCCCGCGCCGCCGAATATGCCATCTACTACGGGGCGAACGCGGAATGGATGCGCTGTCACCCGGTTGTTGTCGCGGCTTGCAAACGCCACTACGCTATCCGGTGGTGTATACTTCGACGATTTTCGTACGCAAGAAGCAAGATAAGACGGTACTGCTTACTTTGCTGGCAAGTGACTGTCTTGTAATGCACTAAGAGCAGAAAAACCACTGACTCCAGCGCCGTTGGTGGGTTTGTTTTGCTCTGCAAGACCGCAACAAGCTCGGTCATGCAACAGCAAGCTCGGTCACCTCTTTCACAAAATACGGAGGCGAAGTAGGCACAGAGTAGGTTAAACTCCCGTTGGTTTCAACATTCAGTTACGTGCACTGCGGCATAACAAGTGAGTAGGGCTTGGCCGCCATTTTTCAAAATTCCTTGACTAGCGCTCCTATTGGTCCGCGGTGACCGATTCGGCGGCAGACGCCGCAAAAATCGGTCCGAGAGCGATCGGCGTGGAGAGGGCCCTTTCGGCGGAACTCTCCGCCGCCGAACCGGATTCGGAGCACTTTCGGCGGCCGGAATGCTTAGTGTGAACGCGGCCTTAGTGTCACGCAGTTTATTTACGTACAGACCTACTGGAAGGCCGAGGAACGCCAGAAAAGCGAGGAACGCCAACAGGCCGAAAATACAAAACAAACGCAAGCTCGGGTCACTCGTGTGCGCCAACGCTGTGGCTTGCTGTTTCTTGCTACTTCGTCGTCGTTCGCATAGTTTCCTACATTGGCCCCCAGTGAATAGCGCAGCCAACCTGGCGACTTAAGGCGTAGTCACTATAGCGGAGTCGTAATAAGGCTTCAGGCGACTCACATGCACAATTTCTCGGCCACGACGGCGTAAGTCATGAGACTAAGTCAAAGGCTGAATCTCGTAATTGACTGGTGACGTACAGGCGAGAATGCTGTAGGGCCCGTGGTACCGTGCCAGTAATTTCGACGAAAGGCCAGGAGTGCTCGGTGGAATCCCGAGCCAAACGAGAGCACCAGTCGTGAAAGTAGAGAGATCTCGGTCGGTGTCATGCCGTAGCTTCTGGTGGCCTTGTTCCTCGGTTGTCAGTGAACGGGCCAATCGTCTGCAATCTTCTGCGTACCTGGCAACATCAGAAATTACAGTGTACTCAGAGGAGTCGGGCGTGTATGGGAGGATGTGGTTGGGTATCACCAACCACATGTTCGTATGTGGTTGGGTATCACTAACAGCCACCTCCGACTTTCAGACGTGTAATTCCGCCGATAGAGGAGGTCGCCTCGAATAGCGAAATGTGTGGCTTGACGGCGGATAGTTCTTGAGACCAAATTAGCTAACGGATCAGTCAGAAAGGCGAGGAGTTGGGAAATCCACACATCTTTGCGTTGTTCCGGACCATGTCTGTGAAGTCGACTGGTGTTACAGCTGAAGAAGGTGACGAGGAGGTTGGGTCAGCCGGTAGCGGCGAGCGGGATAGCGCATCAGCGTCGGATTGCTTGCTGCCGGATCGGTATACAACACGAATGTCGTATTCCTGTAGGCGAAGCGCCCAACGACCAAGGCACCCCGATGGGTCTTTGAGCGATGATAGCCAGCATAGAGCGTGGTGGTCCGTGACGACTTCGAAAGGGTGGCCATAAAGGTATGGGAGGAACTTCGTCAAAGCCCAGACAATTGCGAGGCACTCTTTATCCGTGACGGAATAATTACACTAGGCTTTCTTGAGGGTTCGACTCGCGTAAGCGACCACGTATTCTTGGTATCCTGTTTTTCGTTGAGCCAATACAGCACCAAGACCGACACCACTGGCGTCGGTGTGGATCTCCGTAGGCGCATCGGGGTCAAAATGACGTAGTATTGGAGGTGATAGTAGTAACCGCCGAAGCGCGGTGAAGGATTCGTCACACTCTTTTGACCAAGCAGAAATGCCTTTGGAAGTTGTCAACAGGTTGGTAAGAGGCGCATGATGGAAGAGAAGTCGCGCACAAATCGACGAAAGTATGAGCAAAGGCCGATAAAACTTGGAAGCGTCTTGATGGAATCGAGCTTCGGATAGTCGGCCACGGCGCGGAGTTTCGCCGGATCAGGGAGAACACCCTCTTTGCAGACGACGTGACCCAATATAGTGAGCTCACGTGCGGCAAAATGGCACTTCTTGATGTTAAGTTGAAGGCCAGCAGAGGTGAGACACGTGAGAATAACACGAAGACGAAGAAGGTGAGTCGAAAAGTCGCGAGAAAAAATGACGATGTCGTCTAGGTAGCAGAGGCATGTGTTCCACTTGTAGCCGCTAAGAATGGTGTCCATCATACATTCGAAGGTAGCTGGGGCGTTGCTGAGTCCAAACGGCATGGCGTTAAACTCATACAGCCGATCAGGTGTTACAAATGCAGTCTTCGATCGGTCAGGATCAGCCATTGGAACTTGCCAATATCCTGAGCGTAAATCTAAAGAGAAGAAATATTCTGCTCCTTGCAAGCAATCAAGAGCATCGTCGATGCGTGCCAACGGGTACACATCCTTCCGGGTTATCTTGTTGAGCCGGTGGTAGTCGACACAGAATCGGATAGACCCACCCTTTTTGCGCACAAGTACAACAGGGGACGACCAAGGGCTCTGCGATGGCTGGATGACACCACGCTTGAGCATATCGTCGACTTGTTCTTTGACAATACGGCGCTCTTCCGCTGAAACTCGGTATGTTCATTGGCGTAAGGGAGCATGAGTACCGGTGTCAATGTGGTGCGTGATGTTCGCTGTGCGGCCCAAAGATGGTTGAGCGCAATCGAAGGCAGAACGGAACTCTCGAAGAAGGGACAAGAGTTCCCTTCTTTGTGTCGGCGATAGCTCAGCGGCAACAGAGGGCTGGAATGAGTGTGGAACGGGCAGTGTGGCCACAGGTGGCGTCATAGCATTGAGCTGGAGGTGAGGTGGGTGTTCAGCAAACTCCGGAGGGCGCAAGAGGTCAACGTCTTGTATGTTACCCAAACATTGTCCGCGAAGTAAGGTAACTGGCGACGATAGCGAGTTCGCGACGAGCATGGAGGTACCACCGGATTCCACGGTGAGTACGGCAAAGGGCAGGTGTAGGCTACGGCGGCGGGTAAATACGTCAGACGGAGTGAACAAAACAGTTCCGGCAGGAGCGGCCGTACAAGTCAAGGCTACAAGGGTGGATGTTCTCGGTGCTGTTTCCGTGTCTGCAAGAACGACAAGTTTGTAAGCTTCAGAAAGAGAATCCACCAAACAAGAGGTTGGCGGCGGTGTAAGGGCAACTTCTGCACGTGAGCAATCTATGATGGCCTGATGACGCGAAAGAAAGTCCCATCCAAGAATGACTTCGTGGGAGCATGATGCCAGTACAAAAAATTCAATGGCATAAAGTTCACCTTGGATAATGACACGTGCAGTGCACGCAGCTGTAGGTTCTATGCACTGCGAGTTGGCCGTGCGGAGCGTCAGGCCTGAAAGAGGCGTCATCACCTTTTTCAACTTGCGGCAGGAGGTCTCACAGATTATGGAAACGGCGGCCCCTGTGTCGATAAGCGCTTGTGCGGCGGTCCCCTCAATATTCACGTCAATAACGTTTTGCGGCGAAAAATATGGAGGCCTTAAGCAGTTAGAATTGTATGCAGTTGTTGCCTCCAGAGCTGCAGCGATCAGTTTCCCTCTTCCGTAGCAGGTCGGCGACGCATAGGTGACAGGGAGCGTCGTCAGGGAGATGGTGACCGATGGTTTGCGTAGGGTCGAGGACCGTCAGTTGTGTACCTTGATGGCGTCCTAGACGACGACGCCATTGGCCTGCCCACGGTGTCGACTGGAGGGGGATCTCGGCGACAGTGGCGAGCGACGTGTCCAGCGATACCACAGGCGAAACAGATGGGCCTATTATCCGGCGTCCTCCAAGCGTCTGAGCGACGGTAAAATGGAGCTGGAGATCTCTTGTAGGGATACGGCGCAGCAATTGGGGTTGTAGGCACTACGCAGGGTGGCGTGGCAGGTTCAGCATATGGCATACGCTGTTGCGTAGGCCGAGCAGCGACGGCGGCGTACGTGAGAGGCGTAGTGACTGGTGGTTGCTG